CCAGCTCGTTCAGATACGATTACGCTGACAAAGTCGAATTTTCATTTCGCCGCAGACAGATTTTCGTAAAAATGATTCAAAACCCTCCGGGAACGGCTGAAAACACCCTCAACGGTACAATACAACTCTTCACTACCGTCCACGACACTTTCAGGCATGCGCAACGGCGTCAGCCGGGTCTACTCGACTGAGGGCCCCAGCACCCGGGGCAGGCTCCGCATATATCATGCCACCAGCCACGTTGCGCCTTCCGCGCCCTCAGGACGCGTACGTCATGCGCTCATGACGCATCAATCTCGCGCACGACCGCGTCGCGTACGTCCTGCGCGTCGTACGCCGCCCGCAATTCGGCCCCACCCGCCGCGTGCCCGCCCTCTCACGCGCCCGCATCGCGTACGACGGCCTCATAAACACGACAGAACGCTCCCACGAACCAGGGCGCATACACCCACGCGGTTTCGTGGCGATACGACGAGAAAAATATCGGCCGTCGTCGGGTGATTTCATTGGTATCGGCTCGACGACGCCGGCGAAACCCGCGTCCCGTCCGCCCCTCCCGTCCGCCGGTCCCCAAACTTGGGGGACGCACTACTGTGCACGCTCCGCGTCGCCCCCAACAACGTGCGGACGCGCACGACGACTTCGAATCTGGGACCTTTGGCGGCGAGATGCCCGACACCGCGTCGCCGGACACATCACGGCATCGCCCCTCGCGCTGTCGAGCTCCCCGCCGCGGCCCATGCTCATGGAGACCTCGGACACGGCATTGACGTCGCAACGGCGATGCCAACACGCCCAGAAGGGCCGTGGCGACGCACGCGGCCGTCTCCCGACCCGCGCACGCCGCCGCTCTCGCGCCTCGGCAACGCATCCGAGCCCCGGGACAACGCCACAGCCCGCTTCTGTGCACCAGACCGCATGCCTCTAGAGCGCGTCGGGACGACAGGAGCAGAAACAAGCCCGCGAGGGGCGTTTCGACGGGATCGCGGCGGGTGTCATCGACCAGCCGAGACGTCGTCGGCGCGCGCCGACGAGTCCCGCACGCGGAGACGTCGTCGTGCTCACCGGCGACGCGCCGTGCAAGCTGCGGGGGCGACCCGCTCGCGCGCAGAGGTGACTGGGAGCGCACGAGGCACGCGGCCGGCCCCTCACACCGTGTGTGCGCCATGACTTACGGCGCCCGCAGCGTACCACCCAGCTCCGGGCCTGGCGCAGACGTCCCCAGGCCAAGTATCTGCGGGTGAACGGGCGCCCTCGGCTACGATCGCCGCAGGAGAACACCCGCTCGGCGAGGCGAGGCGAGGCCCTCCGCACCCATCCGCCTCGTCGCCGCAGCCCCTCCACATGTCAAGTTGCCACTCACCTGATGTCCCCGCCGCCCGCCTCTGCGCCCAAGGAGCCAGGCGCGAGACAGGTCGCGGGCACGGGCGCGGGAGACCGCCGTCTCGGGTCCCAAGCGTGTACCTAGCTACCTAGTAACGTAATCTATCCGTGTCCCGCCGCCCCGCACATCCTCGCAAACGGCCGTCCCGGGTCCGCCCAGCTTCCGCGCGCATTACGTCGCGGACCTGCGCATGTTTCTGCGAGAATGGAAGTCAGTTACTGTGCGCCCGCGTGGGTGCCGCATCGCTCACCTTCGTGTGCTGCAGCATCGAATTGGCGGTGACACGAGAGTCGAGCGCGTGGGGTTCGCCTGCGAGCGTCGAGAGGCAAGCGGAAGGCCGAGAATGGGGAGAGGTGAGTAGGAGGGTTGCGACCTGGCAATGTCACGCTAGCTCACCAGGTCTACGACACAGCATCATCATGCCCCGCCGCCTACGAGGCCGCCCCCGTTAGTCTTGTCCACTCGCCTTCGCGTTGCGTCGCTCGTCCGGAACTCCTCTCGTATCGTCTGGCAAGACGATGGCTGCATGCACGGCGTCGCACTGCGCAGGTTAGCGGCACACACAGGGTCTAGATCGGCACACTCACCCCACTGCTTGCCACAGGCCCCATCGAGTTCTTCCGGACGTCGCGGAAGCTGGCGTATGCATCGAACGGTGTGGTTGCATCTGAGGAGGGTCCGACACGATGCGGTGAATCTCTGGCGAAGAGACGGACTTGCCCGGGCTCGAATAACCTCATCCGGGAGAGGCCCGGTTCGGGCGCACGCGGTAGGCGCGATCCTGTGACAACAGGGGTGCGCGGGCCCTTACGAAGGTGCTGATGCGCGGGTGTCCCGCTCCTGGAGTGTCATTCGCGCACAGCCAGCCGCGCGGGCTCCCGTTCACGACAGGAGGCCTGGATGATCGCGGTAAGTAACACATCATCGCGCGACGAGGCTGGCACCAACGTACCGCAGTTGACGATACTTGAACAGGCGAGCTACGAGCGTGCGCAGTGGACGAGTGCCGCACGGCGGTCGTACGGCAGGTAACGTCTCACAGGAATGCGTCCGCAGCCGCCGGCATCCCTTAGCTGGTCAGTGTACACACGCGCCACGGAACGTTCGCGTACCAGGATGGCCCCGCGCGGCCGTGATACCTCCGCCGTCCACATCGCCCGTCGCATCCATCTCGTCGGGAGGGCTAGAAGCAAAGAGGTAAGTATTGAGTGCCAGTCTGCTGCGCAATGCTTACCACCTCCTGCGTGCAGTATTGGTCGGCGAGCGCAGTGCCGTCGCACGCGATACGGAGCCGTTCGCGAGGAATGCCAGGGATGGGGGAGAGGAGGAGGGAGAAGGTGTGTGCGCGCCCGCGTCGCTCCCAGTCTTGTACTTATCCCCGTCACACTTTAGGGCCGCCCCGTTCTCCCGCGTCGTACATGGTCTGTGCGCAGAGCGTTTGTCGGAGCCAGGCTCTGCTCCATCACGTCCAAGCGGCTGCTTACGACCCCGGCACACCGATCTTACGAGGGCAACGGAGGAACGCACCGAGCCCGCCGGGCGGACGACCAACCAGAGCACGACACGGCGAGCCGAGGGAAACGGGGTGAGCGGGCAAGGGTGCGCACGGACTCACCGCGGAAGGGTACACCTGGTTACGCGGTCTCGACTTGCACAATGCTAGGGACGCGCTCGCTTGAGATAGTGGGCGCTCGGTACGTCGACCCTCCGAAGGGATGCCCCCGTTTCGAGCGGGTGGAGGCACCGCTGCCGCGGGTCAGATAGTGTAACGGTCAATACAATCATCCCCGTACGAGCTCAGGAGCAATTCGCGGCACCCTCAGAAGCGAGACGGACGGAGGTTGTCCATTGGTAGGTTCAAGTCCACATCGAACTCGGAGATTAGGCCATTCCTCTGGGTAGCAACGAATATATTTCGTTCAAGGGCTTGGCCTTGTTCTCGCATTTTGTTACATGCAGAGACACGCCTCGAGGGTGAGGGCGATTGGACGGGTAATGCATATTTGTGTTTCCCGCGCGCCCACTCTCGTACAGGGACCCTACAGTGCGTTCATG